CACAGCCCAGGAACGGGCTCCTCCCTGGGGAGACCCCACACACCCGCCCCAGGCAGGCCTGCGGCCACTCAGCCCATCCGCCACGGGGCCAGCTGCCCGGGCCCGAGAGGCGTGGTGTAGCTCTCCGGCCAAGTGCGTGTGAAGGGGTGAGGGCCACACCAGCCGTGGAGCCAGGGCACCAGGCACTGAGGGCAGGGTGATGCTCCCCCAACTCTCCTGGGTGAGGATCTGGAAATGCTGAGTCCTCAGAGGTTCCGGGAGGAGAGTGGACTGCAGAAATCCCACGGTTCCTGCCAGAGTGTCTTACGGAGCCGGGAAACGTGTGAAGCCATGACACGCTGACCAACGACAGCTGTCCTTTAAGGAGAAGTGCGTTAACTCATTACATTTCGTGCAGGGAGAATGAAAGCTGCTCAACGCACGTTCAGTTTACCCATAAAAGTACAGGATGGATGGATGGATGGATAAACAGAGACAGATAGATAGACAGAAACGACAAACTGACAGGTAATAGAAAATACACAGATACGTAGACGATAAATAAAGAATAAGTGTATAGATGATAAATAAGATAACATAGACAGACGATAGATACAGAGATGTCTGATAAATTGATCATAGATACATAGATAAATACACAGATGATACAGACAACAGATACAGATAATAGGTCGATAGATAATAGACAGAAAATGGACAAGGGCATAGATGATAGATTATAGATGCAGAGATAATAAATAATACATACATAGATGATAAAGATGTAGATAGATGATAGATATGTAATAAATACACAGATGAATAATAAGAGATGACAGATAACTGACAGAATATAAAAAAGAAGATATACATAGATAGAATATAAAAGTATATATATTGATATATGTAAATATATATACTTATGTTTACATACATATTTACATTATATATTATACATATATATATATATAAATAGAATCAACTCCATCCAGGCATGGAATCACAAAGGTTAGTATGTATGTAACAAACCGGCCATCAACACAATTATCAGCTCCTACGCTGGACCATTAAACCCCAATCCTGGCGTCCCCGGTGCTGCGCACGAGACGTGATCTTCCCAATGTCACCTACCCTCCAATCACTGCCTCATTTCCACGAAGACGCAGCCAGGATCCCCCTGGAAGCAAAAGCCCCGAGAGGACTCATCAAGTATCTTCTCCCAGAACACCCGCCGTCCGAGGGGAAATGCATCTGCTGGGGACCCCACGTGACAAAATCTCTCGGGAAAAGTCCTCTTTCAAGGACAGCTGTGGAGGCCACCGGGTTCCGTCCTTCTAACAGAGGAAGCGATGCTCGTCTCCCTAAGGAAACACTTCCTGAGGAATCTGCCCCTGCCTTGTGCCATCTGCCGTCTGCTAAAAGCCTATCCCATCTGGTCTCTCATCACCCAAAAAATTGAGAGAGTTTGGGTCAATCGGGAAGGTGAACTAATTGGGCTGAAAACGAGAGGTGGGCAAAGCATCCCAACCTTGCTTCAGGCCAAAGGTCAAACCACTGAGCAGATATTCTAAGGGCGCTCCCAGAAAACCAGAAGAAACAACCCCAGCAAAGAGGCCACGCGGAGCCCCCAGCCTCGGAGTCACAGCCTGAGAAGCCGGGACGGGCCCAGGCAGCCGGGGGGACCCAGAGACCACGCAGGTTCCGGGAGGGCCCTGCGTCTGCAGGGCTGGCGCACAGGCCAGGAACCCGGATCTGCAGAGAGGAAGGGGGAGCCCGAACGGTCGGGATCTTGAGTTGAGCACCACAGGATGGGGCTGGCTGTGTGCACGGCAGGGCCGGAGGAGAGGCCGGTGGGGCTGGAGGCTGAAGCCACCCAAGGCAAGCAGCCGCTGTACTCCACCCGCACGGGGCTGCAGAGGACGAAGCCAGCGAAGTTCAGAGGAGGGCCCCCAGCACCTAGAAGGAGGACCCCGAAGGCCTAGCCCTGGGCCTGCTAGCCGTGAGAGGCACAGAAGGGCTGTGTTTCCAGGCAGAGCTGCAAACCCAGCCCCCCGGTGGCCAGAACAGCTGCAAAACATCCAACGCTGGGTCTTAATTCAGTACAATTTATAGGACGGGGACACACACGGGGCTGCAGGTTCCCAAGGAGAAGAATTCTAGCTATGTGTCCGGGATTGGTCCAGACTGCACCCGGAAACCAGAAAGACGAACTGTCCGAGGGCCGCAGTGCTTTCTGAAGCCTGTGAAGTGCCCCAGGCCTTCGCTCAGAGGGCGGCCGAGACCCCGGGGTCACTCCAAACACACACTGAGGCGCCCACCTCCCTGAGCCGGGATGAGAGCGGGACTCTGAAAGGAAACTGACTTTACAGCAAGACCTGAGCATGAAACACACACCACCTTGAGGAAGCCGAGTCCTGGGCCGACCCAGATAAGACACATCCTTAACGGTCAGGGGCTGTGTTTTTACGAGAATTTCTGTATGCCAGCAATGATACTTTATCTAAGACACTGAAGGCCACGTTCCACTTAACGTTCGACGGAGAACGCTCTGCAAGTGTCAGGTTATCATGACTGAAAACTGGCCCGTTTAAACTCAAAATGTTTGTGCAGAAAAATTCTACGTTTGAATGCCCCTCCCCATGCCCCCAGGGACAGAGGCAACCCATAACGTGCAGAAGGAGAAAAATAACGACGGACGCCGACCTCCCAGTCTGTCTGTTTCTGGGGTACCTCGTTTTCTTAAAAGGAAGGAGAGAAAGGAGTCGATGGGAAAGAACCCAGATGCCGTAGCGATACACGTGGTCCGAGGTCAGCACCCAAAAAGGCTCGGCTTTTTAAAATCATCCTGCCCACACCCAGTGCAAAGACAGCCCAGGGAACAAACGTGCAGAATCCCTCCTCCCGTAGCAGGCTTCCCCGGCTGGCAGCTTTATTCACATAAACACACTGTGATACCACAAGATCCAGAAATGCATCACAGCCTTGATGTGATTCCCAAAGACCCCAGGACAAAGCACAGGGGCCTTACTTCTTCCGCGTGGCTTGGAAAAGTCTCTTTAAACAAACAGAAATAAAGCCCTCCCTCGAGGTCGGAGGCTTTCCTGCAAGTGTGAAGCGTTACTCACGCACGTCACACCGATAAATTAGGAGTCCGTTTATCGCTGGGGCTTCTTGAACAAGCGTCCGATTGGACAGCGTTAAATAAGGAAAAGTACAAGCCAGGAAGAGGGCCGGCAACCCCAGGGCTTAGGAAAAAACGTGACAAACGCAGAGAGGCGGCTAGCTGGAGGGACACAAGTTTTCACGAGTGACAGAAAGCCAGGATGTTAAGAAATGTGGGGGACGGGGGGTCAGATGCAAAGCAGCCAACTACAGCCCGGGAGGTGGGATGTGCGTCTCTGCGGCTCTTTTCCCAGCCAGAGAGCAGAGCAGAGGGTCTGGAGACAGCGACCCTATCGCTTTCCTTCAAGGAGACGGCGCAGGTGACGCTGCTTTCTGACGCCTGACTTCCTAAACACGTTCAAGGCTGGTGACATCAAGATAAAAGACTGCCTTGGCCGGAGCCACAGGAAGTCCCCAGCCACGAACCTGGAGAAATGCCCTCCTTAAGCCCCCGGGATGCGGCTCGATGTTGGGGTCCTGGGAAAAGATTGCCGAGGGCTGAGATGGGGCATTTGTAAATCGCGTACCTCCCGACAAAACCTCCACCCGGACTTGGGTTGTTTTAAGGTGGGAATCAGAGATAAGTCTGGTGTCTTTTTCTTTTTAGGGCCACACCGCGCAGCATGTGGCATCCTAGGGCTCCGACCAGGGATCGAACCCATGCCGCCTACACTGAGAGCACGGAGTCTCAACCACTGGACCAGCCAGGGAAGTCCAGGGGCTTTGCCTCTTGAAGAAAAGCAATTCGTTTAAAATAAGTAAATAAATAAAAGTAGTTCTAAGTGTTAGAAACGGTCTTCCCGTTTCCCCAATGGCGTAAGCAACCCACAAGGACCCCCAAAGATAAAATGATCCCTGGTACTATTTTTAACTCAATGCCCCCCGCCCCCCATTGGTGTTTAAAAGAGAATGCAAGAGCCGTTTCCAGGAATCAAATCTAAATCAGCCCTCTAAGAGCCGGCCGCGGGCACGTGAGGGTCCTCCGTATTCAAAAGCAGGGTTTCCAAGGAGTGGGGACCGCCTTCTCTATGTTCATCCCAAGAAAAGTGATTCTGGGGAAACCGGACCTTTGAAGCATCAGACTCACAGAAAACCCACCTCAAGACCCATGAGCTACAGGGCTCACAAGGACTGTGAATTCAGGCAAGGGGAGAAAAAAGACTGATTCATGGCAGAAAACACACCACAACCAACACCTCTTTTCTGCTTTTTTTTTTTTTATAAGCGGTTGCACTGCAGACTCACTGTTAACATTTTCCACCAAACATAAAACTGGTGTCTCTTGAAAACAGGGCGTCTGGCGAGAGTGTCTCTCCCCGGCTACCCAGAGGCAAGTTTCCCACGTAAGTGACAGTGTAAATAGGTTCCTTCACCAACCAATGGCTAACACCCACGGATGGTGTCAGTGGAGGACACACCGAGGTTTCATCCTCGCTGCCCATCGGTTTCAATCTTTCTTCGATTTACCCCAAACCGTCCCTCGCAGAGAACACGAATGCTGCAGGTATGGAATTATCTAGGAGGCAAAACATCCCTGCCGGCCGTGCTTCTGTCGCCGAGTTCAGCATTTGCAATCCTATCAGCGGACACCTAGGGCTTTGATAAGTCATTTCTTTCCCTTGCGCTGGGACGCAAGGGGCCCCTCCAGAGAAGATGCTCATTTTCACCAGCTCTGGGCCACCCAAAGCCCATCTCTGTCCTCTGAGCCCCCCAAAGCCCCCCACCTGTCCTTTGGGCCACCCAAAGCCCATCTCTCTCCTTTGGGGCAACCAAAGCCCGTCTCTGTCCTCTGGGCCGCCCGAAGCCCCATCTCTGTCCTCTGGGCCGCCCGAAGCCCCACCAAAGGTCCATCTCTCTGTTTTGTGCATTTCCTCTGTCCCGGGCAGCGCGCCCACCGGCGGGGTCAGTACTGACAGCCAAGCATCCGACGAGAGGCGCCCACGCGCGGTCCCCCCCCCCACCGCCACGCTACACGAAGCTGCCGTCCCTGAGGCCGAAATAGCCGGCGTGGCCGGCATCGCCCAGAGGGAACGCCTGCTCGTGGCCCAGGCCCCACTCGCCCTCGTCCTCATCCTCCAGCTCGGCCGCGGCGCCGCGCGCATTCTCGTACAGGAAGATCTGCTCGTGCACGTGCGCGGGGGCCAGGCGGTTCCGCTTGGCACTGACGACGTTGGCCGAGGAGCCGAAGAGGCGCTCGGGGCAGACGCGCGTGGCCGCCACGGACCAGTACTTCTGCAGCACCCTGGGCAGCAGCGGGAAGAGCGCCAAGCGGTCGGACCACCACCTGAGGGGGTCCTCGTTGAGCCCCAGCACCTTCTGCGACTTGAAGTTGCTGAGCTCCTCCACCACCTGCGCGCGCCAGCCGTCCTGGTCCTCGACTCCCGCCGCGGGGCAGAAGATCTCGGCCAGCATGTCGTGGATGACGCTGGCGGGCGGCGGCGTGGCCGAGGGCGCCGGCTTCTTCACGGGGGGCTCCTCGGGCGGGGCGTACAGCTGGTCCCCGGGGGCGCGGTAGGCGCCGTCCTTGGCCTTGTCCAGGAGCCCCTTGGCCTCCTCCACCACCCTGTTCTCCACCTGCTGCCTCTCGAAGGTGGACAGGAAGGGCAGCCTCTTGTAGCGCGGGTCCAGGAAGGTGGCCACGTTGAGGAACATGTCGATCTCGGGCGTCTCCTGGTAGGTCTTGGCGAGCTCCTTGGCGATCACCTCCTTGGCCATGCTGATCTCCTTGGAGTCCGTCTCCTTGCTGTTGAGCGTGCTGTTGAGAAGCATGTGCAGCAGGGGCTTCACCATGCTGATGGTGGGGTACTTGGACCCGGACAGCATGTCGGCCACCTGCTTGAAGGGCTGCAGCAGGTCCACCAGGCCCTCGATGGTGGCCCACTCGGCGGCCTCCAGCAGGAGGTGGTGGTTGTTGCTGTCCTCCAGGAGGACCCCGGCGATGGCGAACTGCTGCTCCTTGAGGCGCTGCAGCATGGCCAGTGTGCTGCCCCACCAGGACACGCGGTTGCTGACCAGCATGCAGTGGGCGGCGTTCTGCTGCTTCTGCTTCTCGTACAGCATGTACATGGCCACGGTGGACTGCTGGAAGTACTCCACCAGCCTGCGGCAGCGGCCGAGCAGCGCGCCCAGCTTGGGCAGCCGGAAGGCCTGCTGGATGCCCGCGTCGAACGTGTGGCCCAGGCAGGGCATCTGCACCGCGATGTCCAGCAGCGAGCAGGCCTTGGCGATGTCCTTGCCACGGTCCGTGGTGGCGCTGAAGACCTTGGAGCTGACGCCCCACTCGATGAAGGCTTCGTACAGGACGCGCGTGATGGTCTCGGCCGCGTTGTCCTCCGGCACCTCGAAGGTCTTGAGGCAGCGGGAGCCCAGGAAGAGGCCGTGGGGGGCGGCGCGGCCCAGGAAGTGCGCGGCCAGCGTCACGTAGGTCCGATTCTGGCTCTCGCTGCGCCACAGGTCGGTGGAGATGCCGCACCACGCGGCCTCCGCCAGCTCCTTGAGGACCGCGTCACGCACGGCGCCGTAGCGCTCGGGGATGGCCTTGCCGCAGAAGAACTTGCGGCTGGGCAGCTCGTAGCGCGGCTCGGCCGTCTTCAGCAGCACCTTGAACGTGGGCTCGTCCACGATGGACGCGGGATAGAGCCCCTCGCAGATGAGGCCCATGACGGCGGCCGTCAGTTCCTGCTGCCTGCGGCCCTCGTGGCCGTGCACCGCTGCCGCCGCCGCCGCCGCCTTGGCGGCCGGCGGCTCCTGCGCGCTCTGCTGCGCGGCCTCGGGCTTGAGCTTGGAGAAGGCGCTGGCGAAGGCCTCGCGCATCTGCTCCGTGTTGCTCTTGACAAACTCGCAGAACTCATCGGGGTGGTTCTTCTCCAGGTGGTAGGACAGGTTGGAGGTGTTGCCCGAGTAGGCGATCTGGGCCATGCAGATGCGGCAGTAGATCTTCTTCCACTGCAGGATGCAGCCCTCGGCGTTCGTGTCGAAGCCGAAGTAGCGCCACACTTTGCTCTTGGCGCGCGGATGCGCCACCAGCTTGAGGTCGGTCTGCGCGCCCTCCAGGCTCTTGCCCTCCATTGCGCCACCCGGGCCGGGCCTCGCTCATTCGGGACGACCTGCCGAGAAGCAGCGAGACAAACACAGCGTGAGAAGAGACCCGGCTCCGGCCGGCGGGGAGCGGGGCTGCTCCGGAATCAAGGGCGCACGCAGAGGGTCCCCGGGGGCCGCCGCTCCGGCTCGTGGCTTTGGCACAGCAGAGGGGCCAGTCTGACAAGCCAGCAACTCTTCCATCCAGGTGCGTCCGAAGACACGCGTTTTTTTATTGTTAGTTTTGGGATCGTCTTTGGACTCCTGATGACAGCTCTTTCCTCACCTGAGCTGCTTTACTCTGTCCTGTTCTAGGAAATCCAAGCAGGGGGGCCTGTTCTCCAGACGGAGGCCACATTCCCAAGCGCCCCGCCAGCCCAAGACGACCCACCTCCCCAACCGAAAACCTGGTCGTCAAGTACGCGTGCCACACGCCACCATCAGATGTGGCTCCAATCAGAAGATGGAAACAGAGCGGATATTAAGTTGTCAGAGTGGCATTAATACGAGCTTTTTCTAATTTTATGTTTTGAAATGATGCCTTTTTGACCACAATGAGATCTCACCTCACCCCCACCCCCAGCGGAATGGGTTTCATCAAAAAGAACACAAATAACAAATGCTGGTGAGGGTGTGGAGAAAAGGGAACCCTCCTACACCATTGGTGGGGATGTAAACTGGTGCAGCCACTATGGAGAACAGGATGGAGGTTCCTTAAAAAGAGATGCTGTATGATTCAGCAATCCCACTCCTGGATATTTATCCGAAAGAAACAAAACCACTCATTAGAAAAAAGATCCATGCACCCCCATGTTCACAGCACCACTATTCACAACAGCCAAGACATGGAAGCAACCTAAACGTCCATCGTCCACGGACAGAGGGATGGATAAAGAAGATGGGGTACATATATACAGTGGAGTATGACTCAGCCATGAAAAAGGAACGAAATTGCACAATTTGCAGCAACATGGATAGGCTTGGAGATTATTATGTTGAGTGAAATAAGTCAGACAGAGCAAGACAAATATTGTATGGTATCAGTTATATGTGGAATCCAAAAAAAAATTTTTTTTTCAACTAGTGAATATAACAGAAAAGAAGCAAACTCACAGATATACAGAACAAATTACTGGTTACCAGTGGGGAGAAGGAAGGGAGAGGGGCAATATAGGGGAAGGGGATTGAGAAGAACAAACTATAATACTCGGTATAAAATAAATAAGATACAAGAATATATAGTACAACACAGGAAATACAGCCAATATTTTATAACGACTATAAATGGAGTATAACCTTTAAAAACTGTGAGTCACTATGTTGTACACCTGAAACTTATATAATATTGTACATTAACTTATATCAAAGAAAGTTAAAAATATTACCTTCTGAACTGCACATGCTCTAGTTATTTTGTTTTGTTTTTTTAATCTATCTACCTATCTATCTATCCATCATCCATCACTTTATCTATCTACCTATCTATCCATCCACCTATCTATCCATCCATCCATCCATCACTTATATCTATCTATCTATCTACCTATCTATCCATCCATCCATCCATCACTTATATCTATCTATCTACCTATCTATCTATCTACCTATCTATCCATCCATCCATCACTTATATCTATCTATCTATCTACCTATCTATCTATCCATCCATCCATCACTTATATCTATCTATCTACCTATCTATCCATCCATCCATCCATCACTTATATCTATCTATCTATCTTGGCTGCGTCAGGTCTTCGTTGAGGCATGCGGCATCTAGTTCCCCGACCAGGGATCGAACCTGGGCCCCCTGCATTGGGAGCACAGAGACTAACCCACTGGACCACCAGGGACGTCCCTCTATTTTTCTCCTGGCTGCATCTGGCATCAGGAACCAGATTGGGGCAATAATGGATTTCTCAATCCCTGGAACTTCTCAAAATGCCCACCGTGGGCACTCACACCTGGGCACAGAGACACCTACGAGCTGTGGTGCAGCATTGCCCAGCTGTCAGGGGGACGCATTCGGCGTCCCGGAGCTGCCAGTCAGGGCCAGGACACCCAAAAGGGCAGCTGAGCTTTCTTAAAAGCTGCCTGTTACTCATAGACGTAGCAAACGAACTAGTGGCCACCAAAGTGGAAAGGTGGGGAGGGATAAATTAGGGGTTTGGGATGAACAGATACACACTACTATATATAAAATAGATAAGCAACAAGGACCTACTGTAGAGCACAGGGAACTACATTCAATAGCTTGTAATGACCTATAATGGAAAAGAATCTGAATATGTATGTATAATTGAATCACTGTGCTGTACACCTGAAGCTAACACAATATTGTAAATCAAGTATGCTTCAATAAAAGAGAAACTTTTGGGCTTCCCTGGTGGCGCAGTGGTTGAGAATCCGCCTGCCGATGCAGGGGACACGGGTTCGGGCCCTGGTCTGGGAGGATCCCACATGCCGCGGAGCAACTAGGCCCGTGAGCCACGGCCACTGAGCCTGCGCATCTGGAGCCTGTGCTCCGCCACAAGAGAGGCCGCGATAGTGAGAGGCCCACGCACCGCGATGAAGAGTGGCCCCCGCTCGCCGCAACTAGAGAAAGCCCTCGCACAGAAACGAAGACCCAACACAGAAAAAATTAATTAATTAATTAATAAAACTCCTACCCCTAACATCTTCAAAAAAAACAGAAAAAAAAGAAATAGAAAATTTCGAATTAGGCATGAGCATGAATTTAAAAAAAAAGAGAGAGAAACTTTTAATAATCATAAACAAATATACACATATATGCCTAGACACAGAGAGAAAAAGATACGCTTTAAGAGCATGAATGTTAGTTTTATTACTTATTTGATTTCCTCAAATGATGCCCATGGAACAGACTTCCCCCTGAAATGGGTTAAGTCTGCAAGCTTTCAACCCCCTGTACAGCACTCAGGGGGTTAAATCACAAAGTGCACCAACCAGGCGTTTTCTGAGTGTGGGGCGTATGTTCAAAGCCAAAACCCAGTAACAACGACAGTGGTTTGAATAGTGGCCCCCCTCCCCAAATTCACGTCCCCCCAAAACCTGACAGTGGGACCTTATGTGGAAACAGGGTCTTTGCAGAGGTGATGAAGGGAAGGGTCTGAGATGAGGTCCCCCTGGATGAGGGTGGCCCTACATCCAATGACAGGGTCCTTACAAGACACAGGAGAGGGGAGACACAGACACAGAGGAGAAGCCCCGGGAACACAGAGGCAGAGATGGGAGGGACGCGGCCAGAAGCCCAGGGACACCTGGAGCCCCCAGAAGCTGGAAGAAGCGGGAAGGACCCTCCCCTGGAGCCTCCGGAGGGAGCGCGGCCCTGGGACACCTCGACTTCGGGTTTCTGGTCTCCAGAAAGAGACAGGATGAACTTCCATGATTTTAAGTACTTTGTTACAGCCGCCCCTGCACGCTCTACTGATGAGAACAAAACTATAAAAGCTATGAGTGGTAACATCACCCCTGGTGCTGGGCGCCCTGCGGTCAAAAGGGCCCACCTGAGGCTTTCAGGGAGAGGTCACACTTGGGGGGGCTGATTTAAGGGGCACGTCGGTAGCCAGGGATGGGGCAGAAGGATGTACTGCTCAGAGGTGAGGCCCAAAGTCTCCAGGACAGGGGGAGGGGATCCGATACAGCCAGGACTTTCACAAAGAGGAAACCCCCAAACCGCACATCCTACAGCCAAGCCAGGATGGGGCACCTGAGCGTGGGAAAGGTGGTCCCAAAAAGCGATGGGAACTGCACAGCGGGCACACCTGGGCTCTGGAATCTGAGCTGCCACATCGCGCGCGGGCCACGCAATTCAGTTTTATCAGATCCGACTACACCTGGATGATGATGGTGAATTACTGCTGTGATCTGGCTGAAGGAGTCCAGCGCCATCCTGGCGCAGACTTTTGCCCACAAAGCAGGAAGCATCCCTGACACAGTGACAACCTAAGGAGGCACCGCCCGTAGGGCCTCCCCCTGCGGCATCACCTCCTTCGGGCCAAAGATGTCAGAACCTCCAAGGAGGTGACACACAGTAGGAGGGTTCTGAGCACATACGTTGAAGGCGGCTGCACAAAGCCACCCTCCACTGTCTGGAGGGCAAGGTCTACATCTCCCGTCAGAGTCAGGAATCAAGGTTTTGTCAAAGCACCCTCTCCACAGGGTCCTTCTTACAGGGCGGCCTGAGCATCTCTGGGGGGGACCATGGCCAAGACACTGCCAGGGACGTGGCGAGGTCCTGCCTTTTCTCACATCAGAGACACCAGCCAGATCTTCCCACTCAGCTTCACCAACACAAGGAACATGTCACAAGACACAAGATGAAGTCACCAAGTGGAGAACCAGCTGCATTCTTCCCAGTCGGTACTTCGGGAAACTGGCAAGAACCAGAAACAGGGCCACTCTCCCTGATTTTTGTTTGTTTGTGTTAGAGATTATAGTTATTTTTCACTGGGAAAAAATGTTACTAGGAATAACATGTAAGTGACTTGTTACGTTACTTGAAATATATGTTGTAAATTTCTGTTTCAAATTTCTGTTCACCTTTTTTTTCACTTCAAATAAATTTAAATTTAATTAACATGTAAGTGAATAGGATCCATATGGATAAGTAAATGCCACATAAACAAAAGCTCTTTGGGGCTTCCCTGGAGGTCCAGTGGTTAAGACTCCACGCTTCCAAGGCAGGGGGCATGGGTTCGACCCCTGGTCAGGAAACTAGGATCCCACATGCTGTGTGGGACAGCCGAAAAGTAAAAATTTAGAAATTTATTTTTAAAAAAGCTCTTTGGGTGGGAGGGGGGGCGGGGGGGAGTACTTATTTTTTTTCAAGAGTCAAAAACTCCTAAGATCATGAAAACTGTGCTTTCACCTCCCTGGATCCACAACCCCCAACCGTTCGTATGTACACAACACCAACGAAAAATAACTTCCTCTTTATCGGTTTCTAAAAACCCTGCAGTTTGAACACCAGGAGCCACCCTAAAATAGCTTCGTAAGTGGGCCAGCCGACATCTTTTGGGGGTGTCAGCCCATCAGTAGAAGTCCATTTCCAGACCTACCTCCTATTTCCAACAGAACTCTTAAGGGAAATGTCTGTGTGGTATCAGAACATCCCTGCAAAACACACCTGGATGACTTTCTCTCCCTTTCAAAACTGATGCATTTAATTTGTAACAGACAATCGCCACAGAGAATCTGGAAATCAGAGTCTCTTACGGGAAGTTTTAATCTGCTTACACACATCTCTATCAAGGCACAGCCTGCAGCGATCGTGAGTTTGTAATGATCCTGTTTACAGATAGCGCATTTTAAGGTTACATTCAGGGGTGGGTTACCTTTTCAGCATCTTCCTTCACCTTTTCATAGAATCCAGGTGAACTCACACCACACGCCTGTCCCCCACCTGATAAAATGTGCAGGACCACCCACAATTGCAAAGCGACAGTAATAAATGTGAGGCAGCTCCATCTTATCTAAGGAGTCCCAGTAAAAGTTATATAATTGCATTAAACATGTGCAGTGTGCACAAGCAACTCATCGAAACGCTGAGACGATCTACAGACAGATTCTCTAGATACTGAAGATTTGACATGCAAATATTAGCAAACTCGTAACCAAGGTAGTTTTAAATCTGAGGCATGATCTGACCGCTCACGGTGGGTTAGCAAAGAACTTCCACAATACCAAATGCACTTCAGGAATCACCGCTGTGGTTTGTCGTTATCCATTTAGAATATATAAATAAGAGAATATTTCCGTATCAACTATTTTATACTGTGCACGTTTTTATTTATATAGACTATATAAGTTATTTTTTAAAAAAAGGAAACATCTGATGTTTAAGAACAACAAACCCCAGCTACTCTCCATGTGAACTGGGCCTCTGGTTACTGTTTATTTAGCTCCATACCGGGGCAAAGTTCAATGTCTCCTCCCCCGCAAAGGTTAAGTCCAGTTAGGGGCAAATAAAAAATGGGTCCAAAAGCAGAGGAACAGTGCCACTTGGGACACCGGCCACCACCTGGCACATGGGACGGATGTTCGTTCACTCCTCCGCCCAGACCTAAAATGATTTCTAACCCCACAGACCACGTGGCTCGCACACAGCAAGCCCAGCAAGTCCATCTTTGGATGAAACCGCCCTCTGCAAAAGCCGGAATAAGGATGCCCTCGGCTGACACATGGCCTCATGGCTGGTTTGCCTTTCCACAACTTTATTTTTTTTCTCAATCAGTCAACAGGTGGAAACCACAGGGCAAGCCCTCAGGTTGGATGCACCTCCAACACGTTTCCGAGGCACGCATTTTGGGGTGCTGCTGCGATAACACCGACAAGTCTAAATTCCATCCTCAACTTGTCTTTTCTGCGAGCGGCTAAACGGGCTCCCGGGCGAGACAGCCAGACCCGTCTAGGAGCAAAACTGCTCGGAGTGGTGCGCTCCACAACCTGGGGCCATTTGGGGCAACCTGGGACAGCTTCCCATACGTCTTCACTGTTTACAAGCCAATCCTGATCTCAAAGGTGACTATGCAGACCCCACCCCCGAGCCCCAGGTACTGGCTGGGGTCTTACCCTCTGTTCATTTCTGATTGCTCTCAATGTGTTTTTTTTTTATAAAAGATACCGAAATCCAGCTTATCAGAAAACCAAATGCTCACCTCCCATAAACCTGGAAGATGTATTTCCCTTTGATGGAGGCCTGGGAGGGTGGAGCTCATATAAAAATATCTACTCCTGGTCGGAGCTGCAGGTTTGCAAAGTGTGGCCCCGGCAGCGCCCCTGCCGTCGGCGAGTGTGAGCGATTCTCAAGTATTTTCACAACCAAAGTCACATGTTCTTTGCCTTTTTTTCACCCCCGCGTCTCAGGGGTGTTGCCCAGACGCTGCTGGGGGTGCCAGGTCAATAGGGTGGAAACACGGGTGAAACTGAGACTCCATCTATCCCCTTAGGCCACACAGTAGAGAGACCGGCCACAAGGTGACACAGCACCACTCTTCGCACCGAATACTTTGTTTTAGAAAGTAGTCATCTGTGACCTAAAAATACAATGTCATGTATGCTCGCGTAGCCTAGGGTGAGTGTGATCTCCTGCAAATTAGGGCAGACAGAGATTCCTACAGGTTCCCCCGTTTTACGTCCTGAGCACGCCGCTGCGACCAGACACAGCCCCAGACGGATCGCCGCCACCCCCCGCTCCCCGGAGGTCCCCAACGTGCGTGCAGAGCGCGAACGGGTCCCCGGAGAGTTTGGGACCGGAGACGCCGCAGAGGTCGCGGGGGCCAGAGGAACAAGGTGCCCCAGAGCGGAAGCCCCTCCCTCCAGGCCTCGCCGCGCCCCCGAGCGCGCCCGGCGTCCCCCACCCACCCCGGGGAGGCCCGTCCTACCTGACCCTGCGCGCGGCCGGGCTCTCGAGCGCCCCCTCCTTCGCCCCGGCCGCGGGGCTGCGGGACGCGCGGGACCCCGGGGACCCCGGCCCGCAGTGCGCGGGGGGAGCGGATCCCCGGGCCGACCCCGGCCCGGGATGCGCGGAGCGGGGGAGGGGCGCGTGGGGACGGCGCACCTCCCTCCCCCCGCGGCCGCCCGGCCCTGCTTCCGGGAGCGCCCGGCGCGGCGCGCCCTGGCCAGCGGCCGGGGTCAAGGGCACGCGGGGCCCCGCCGCGCCCCTCCCCCGCTCCCCCCCCACCCCGGGGGTCCCGGCCGAGGGAGGGGCGCGACCCCGGCCGGGCGCCGCCGCCGCCGCGAGCCCCCCGCCCGCCCCTGGCGCCGCCGGCCGCTGACCTGGTTCCGCGAAGCCCGGGAGGCGGCGGCGCAGCAGCTGCGCCACGACCACCGCCGCGCCCACCGCGTACACTCGCAGGGCCGCCCGCGCCGCAGACAAAAGCGACATGGCTGCCCGGCCGCCGCTTCCGCGCCGCCCGCGGGACTCAGAGCCCCGCCGGACGGCGGAAACGCGCCCGCGCCGGCCCGCCCCCCGCGCCCACGCGCCCGCCCCGAACCCCGCCCGGACCCCGCCTGGACCCCAGGACGCCGCCTGACCCGGGGCGCTGGACCCCGGACCCCCGACCCCGGCCCGGAACAGGCACTCCCGCCCGCACCGCGGACCCCTCCCGGCTGACGACCTCCGCCCGGACCCCGGGACTCTGCCTGACGCCGGGGCCCCGGACCCCAGCCCGGACCAAGGACCCCAGGGACGCCCCCCCGACCCCAGGGACCCCCGCCCGGACCGAGGACCCCAGGAACCCCCGCCCGGACCAAGGATACCAGGGACCCCCCCCGACCCCAGGGACCCCCGCCCGACCCCAGGGACCCCCGCCCAGACCAAGGATACCAGGGACCCCTGCCCGACCCCAGAGACCCAGACCAAGGATACCAGGGACCACCCCCCCGACCCCAAAGACCCCCGCCCAGACCAGGGGCCCCTCCCTGCCTGGATCCTGGGACCCCTCCTGACCCCGGACCCCCGCTCAGACCACAGACCCTGTCCAGATCCCCAGGACCCCTGCCTGGCTGCAGGACCCCCACCCAGATGTGGACCCAACCCAGACCTTGGACTCCTGCCCGGGACCCCCAATCCGGCCCTCGGACCACAAGAGCCCCCTTGGACCTCAGACCCTCCATTGAGACCACGGACTCCCGCTAGGCTATTGCCCACCTCCACAACAGAACCCCAGGCCCCCCAGACGGGACCATGGACTCCCACGTGGATCCCTCCTGGAGCGTGGAACCCCCCGCCCAGACTTCCACCTGACCCCCGCTAGAACCACAGACCCCGCCCAGATCACAGCTAGGACCCTCCCTCCCCACACTTCCCCAACCCAGACCCCCAGTAAGACCCCACACAGACCCCTATCCAGAACCTTACAGAAACCCTAAACCTGGCAACCCCAGACCCTACAGGGACCTTAATACCCACCAGAACCCTGGACCACATCCATATCCCCCGAATTTGGACACCTACTGGACAGCACCCCTCATACACACACCAGCAGAGACCTCCTCCCCCACCACCACCATCAGCACCCGCCAGCACCCAGGACCAAGGATCTCAACCCCAGCCCCACCAGGATTCCTGTCCCTGCTAGGACCCAGGATCCCACACTCCACAACCCTCTGTAACTGTGACCCCCACACCTGGACTCTGGGTCTCCCCCCATCGCCATAGGAAGTGAACCCAGCTGGTCTGACTTGGGGGGTCACCCCCAACGTGCAGGCTGCCCCCCTTCACTCAGGCCACCTGGAGATGCTCAGCATACAGACCTCTTTGGTGCAATCCAAGGCTCGGTTAGAAGGGTCCTTCTGGTCTTTGTGACCCTCTGTCCTACAGATGAGAAAACCGAGGCCAGGAAGCCTTCCAGGATCCCTGGCAAGACCATGGTATCAGCTGCCCCTCTTGGCCAGGTGCACCCAGGTGTGCCAGGCATGCCCAGGTGTGCCCAGGACAGAGCATCAGGGAAGTCCTCCATAGCTGCCACCCTCAAGGGGTTCCCGCAAGAGCCCCAGGTGTGGCCACAGTGACAGAATAAGAAGGACCTAGAAGCAGGTGGAGCCCAGGGAACAGTGGGGGCATGGACCTGTCCCTGGGTATTTGTCCAAAAAGAAAGGCCCGTTGCCAGGCATGTTATCTGTGGAGGCACAGCAATGCCAGCTGACGCGTCCTGTCCTCTTGCCCAGTCTCCCCGAAGCGTGTGTTTTAACGTGGTTTCTGGAGCAGTGAATGGAGGGGCTGGGGTCGTCACCAGGTGCTTCCAGCCACGGCCCCCAGTTCAGAGAGCCTGGAACTCATTAGAATGTTGATGCTGCAAATGCACTTGACTTTTATGGCACCTGTAATAAATCACCCCACGTGTAGCAGCTCAAACAAACACCAACATAGGATCTCACTGCCCTGTAGGTGAGAAGTCTTGCCTGTGGGTCTCCTCTCAAGGTCTGACAAGGTCAAAATCGAGATGTCTACCCACTGGGCTCCCAAGGGAGTGGATCTGGACGAGCCTGTCTCCAAGCTCATTTGGGTTAACAGCAGAATCTAGTTCCTTGTGGTTGCAGGGCTGAAGTCCCCGCCTCTACGCTGGTGGTCAGTGGTGGGGAGGGTAGGATCCTGTCTCTGGTCTGAGCAGGTGTCACCTAGATCCCACCCTCAGCATCTCTTCACCTTCCCGTCTGTCACATCTCTCCCACTCCAGCCAAAGTTCTCTGCTTTTGAGGGTTCATGGGATTAGAATGGAGCAGGGACCTGGTTAATCTGGGATCATCTCCCTATTTTAGGGTCCATACCTTAATTACATTTGTAAGGTCCCTTGTGCCATGTAAAGTTCCAGGGGATTCTGGCTTGGACGCCTCTGAGAGATATCCTTGGTCTCCTCCACGATGCTTGACAAATCCCCGTCCCTTCAAGGATTTTAGGACTCCACCACTGAAGGTAGGTTCACCTGGGCCAGAAGAGGCAGGGACAACTCCAGGTGAGGGGCAGGACATCCCCCCGGAAAAGAAGGTTAGGCAGAATGGGCCCCCCTAGTAGAGGCCCAGGAAGCAGGGCGAGAGCAGCCATCTGGTTGACCCAGAGGCCAACATCTGCCATCAGGCACCCTTGGCACAGTACAAGGTGCTCATTATATTTGGGGTCCTTTTGAACTTCTCTTAAAATCGGGGGGTGGGGGAAGACTATAATAATAATAATGAATAAATATAAATAATGCATGCAGCATGGAAAATAAGTTTTCTACCAGAACTGTCTTAAAATATAAATTTTAATATATCTTACGGAAGCCGCCAAGGTGACCATAGAATGGCCCCGAGGAAGTCAGATCCTGAAGCATCACGGGTGATCAGTTCCTAGAGGCCCCTGACCCTAGAGAAGGGGGCTTCAGTGCTGCTGGCCACACACTAAACCACAGCAACGTGGGCCCTCAGGGAACTCTGTGTTGGTAAAGAGCCTCTTCGTGGTCAAAGGTCACCCTCCCTACGACAGCCCCTGATAATTCAGTGGCTCCCTCCCACCTGAGTCTCCTTGTAATCAGGCAGCCCCCGTGGCAGCTCCTCTGCCACACCAGGTACATGGGCCACACCAGCCACTTCTGTTTCATTCCTCTCCTATCCCTGGTGCTAACACTGTTATCGTGCAAATTGTATTCCCTACGAATAACCAATAACCGTGGACTCCGCCAGTGCGAACTGTGCTATTGTAATTCACTAGGATGCCTGGTCTTTTTTTTGTTTGTTTGGTTGCGCCGGGTCTTAGTTGCGGCAGGCAGGCTCCTTAGTTGCAGCATGCGGGCTCCTTAGTTGTGGCGTGCAAACTGTTAGTTGTGGCATGCACGTGGGATGTCGTTCCCTGACCAGGGATGAAACCCGTGCCCCCTGCATTGGGAGAACAGAGTCTCAACCACTGCGCCACCGGGGAAGTCCCAGGAGCCTCAAAGCTGGGAGAGAGGCTAGAACAGGTTCTCCTTCAGACCCCCCAGGAGGAACCAGCCCTGCCCACACCTTGATCGCAGACTTCTTGCCTCCAGAACTGTAAGAGGATACATTTCTGTTGTTTAAGCTCCCCAGTCTGGGGTACTTGGTTACGAAAGCCCTCGGAACCTAACATAGATGCTGAAGAAAAACATTTTCTCCTGAAAGGGACCCCCCAGCCACAGTTCTGAGCCCTCAAATCCTGACACTTGAGGGGATAGTCAGACCCCTCGAGCCCTGTGGTCACCCTAGTATGTGTTCAGACCTTCAGATTCTATAACCTAGACGTGGATCCATCACTATCATCAGGGAGCCCAAATCTCCTCCAGGCTCTGCGTGTCCAGCTTTCTTGGGGTATCAGGGGGGCCCGAGTTCAGTGCCCGGCAGAAGGCGGAGAGGTAGGCAAGTGCCCTGAGCTCCTGGAGGTCGGGACGCCCCATGACTCTGTATCCAGCACGATAGGAAGCTGTGACACGCGCTTTGAACACTTGGTCGATGCAACCTTTACACATGAGACTGGTTTCTTCCTACTTCACCTCCCTCCTGAACGATGGGGCAGGAGTCGATGGGTTAGGGACTTCCTTGGCGGTCCAATGGTTAAGACTCCGCACTTCCACTGCAGGGGGCCCAGGTTGGATCCCTGGTCCTGGAACTAAGATCCAGCATGCCACGCGGGTCAGCCAAAATACATAAATAAAGAGCTGATGGGTTATTTAGCAATTGAACTATGGTGTGCTTGCCTGCGTGTGCGCGCGTGCCTGTGCGTGTGTGTCGGCGCGCGTGCACCTCCCTCGGAGGAGTCCTGCCCCGGGGGGTTGGGGGAATGGCCTCACACATGCTACGCTGCACTGCCCACGTGAGACGGGCCGTCACGTACACTCACAGCCTGTGGAGAAGAACAGCCCACTGGGGCCGCACGGGGCTGCCCCCGAGGTCAGGGTGAACCCCAGAGGCAGGCTTTCTAGTCACAAGGGTCTGAGGGGACCCTGGGAGGGTGGGATGGGCTCGTGTGAATAATTCCACGAGCGGACGGGAGCTCAGCTGACTACGGAGGGATGAACCGGCACCGAGCGTGGTCCCCCTGCTCAGGAGGGGGCTGGCTGGGGGAAATGAAAGGGAGACGCTGAGCGGAGAGGCCAGTGCGCCCTCAGGCCCTTTGAGGGCCCCCTGGTTCCCCCCAGACGCCAAGGAAGCACATCACATTGGCCTTAATTTTCGTCATTGCGGTGCAGTATGACTGGGAGGGTGGGATGCGGTGGTGTCAGGAGGAAGGGGGATCCCAGTGCTTTACTGAGAGTGCGGACCAGGCGGGACCCTACACAGATGCTGTGCACAGGGCGGATCCATAGGGGTGTTTTTCCATGAGTCTGGGGAGACTCATTTAACGCCTGCATCCTGGAGGTGTGCTCCAGACCTGCCAGAAATTACACACACACA